CCTGGAACTCGCTTTGGAGACCAGGCTCAAACTCACAGAGATCCGCCTGCCTCTGCCTCCCGAGTGCTGGGATTAAAGGCGTGCGCCACCACTGCCCGGCCAGCCTCATGCTTTTTAAGTAGTAATAAATCAGTCATGGTATGTATAATTTTTAAAGGTACAAATTATTATCCTTTCATTTCACTTTAGACAATTTTTAAATTTTCCTTGGGATATCTGTTAAGAATGAAGATAAGATAATACTAATTAGCCCCTCTCTAAGAGATAAAAACCACTTAATACTATACTGTTACTTTTTATACTTAGGAATTTATTTTTCAAACCACAAGAGAGCTTTTATAGTTCAGAACTTACTCCTTTACCTCAGGTATAGTGTAATTGTAAGAAAGGTTAGGAAGGGATGCTAACATTTTAAATTTATTGATAATTTAGAACTAACTTGTATCTAAAAGGAGTTAAGGGAGGTAATTCAATAAAAGTGTCCCTTTAAAATCGAGTAATGGACATATGGAAACATGTTCAAAAATCAGTCAATAAGAAATGGAAATCAAAAGTATAAGGAGAAGATGTCTGTCATTTTACATCCTCTAGGATGGCTGTAATACAAAAGTTACATAACAGGTAAGTGTCCTTCTTTGGCAAGGACATAAAGAACTGGAACCTTGGTGAGAACTGTTGGGTGACAGGTGGTGCTGGCTGGACCATACGGTAGTTCTGTCTTTTAGTTTTCTGATGAATCTCCACACACTGACTTCTGTGGTGGCTGTACTAGCTCAAGCTATAACCAGAGTTTAGGGTTCGTCCCACCCACAACTTGAGTGGCATTTATTGTCATTTGATGATCCATTCTGACTGGGGGAGGGAGAATGCTGGTATAGTTTGAACTTGCATTACAGTAATGGATAAGGATGGTGAACATTTTCATGTATTTATTGGCCATTTGTACTTATTTGGAAATGGTACATTTATCTCTTTAGTGATTAATTGTTTGTTGGTTTGGAGTCCTTATATGTTCTGGGTATTTTTCCCCCAGCGGAGGAATAACTAGGAAATCTTTCTCCCATTCTTAGCATTCTTTACCATCTTCTATGCTGTGCAGAAGCTTTTTAATTTCATGCAGTGACATTTATCAGTCCTTGCTATTTGGTTGGGCTTTGGGGAATATATTCAGAAAGGTTTGCCTTTACCTGTACCATTTATTTGTTTGTTTATTTATTTATTTGGTTTTTTTGAGACAGAGTTTCTCTACATAGCCAGGTTGGCCTTGAACTCACAGAGCTCTACCTGCCTCTGACTCCCGAGATTATAGCATTATAGATGTGCATCAGCATGTCTGACATATGCCTGCATCTTGAAGAGTGTTTTTTTCCTAGTAGTTTCAAAGTTCCTGGTCTTAATGTTGACGTCTTTGGTCTATTTGAATTCATCTTTGTACATGATGAGAGGTAACATCTAGTTTTATTTTTCTACATATGGACATATAGTTTTCCCAGAATAATTTGTTAAAGAAGCTGTCTTTTCTCCATATATGTATTTAGACATCTTTGTTAAAAAGCTGGTGGCAGCCAGGGGTGGCAGCACATACCTTTAATCCCAGTACTCCGGAGGCAGAGGCAGGCCTGAGTTTGAGGCCAGGTTGGGCTACAGATAGAGTTCCAGGACAGCTAGTGCTGTTACATGAGAAACCCTGTCGGGGGGCGGCGGGGGGTGGGATGGGGGGTGGGGAGCCAGTGGCTATAGCAGTGTGGGTTTAGTACAGGATCCTCTGTTCCATTCCGTTAGCTTGTGTGTCGTGTCTGGTTTTGTGCTAGTCCAAAAAAAAAAAAAAAATTCCACTTATCTAAGTTGGGAGCACCAGACTATTGATTGTGAATGAAATATGATTTGCTTCATGTTTTTAGTAAATAGGTTTTATTGTAACTCAGTCATACCCCCTTGTGTGTATTGACTGTAACTGTTTTGTGCTGTAGTGGTGGGATGAAATAGTTGTAAAGGGAATGGTAGAACCCACGGAAACTAGGCTGTTAGCTGGCTTAAACTGTTTTTTTCAGTACTAGGAATGCAATCAGGGATATGAACATTCTAGGCAAGCTTTCTACCACTTAACTATACCCCTAGATAAATAAAAATCATATTAGTGTGTATGTGTGAATGTATGTGTGTGTCAGTGAGGATGTGCTCATGCCTTGGTGTGTGTATAGAGGTCAAAGGACAACTTTCAGAAGTTGGTTCTCTCCTTCCACTTGGGTTCTAGAGATCAAAATTCAGTCTTGCATGGTTGGTGCTTTTACGCACTGAGTCATCCTGCTGGCCCTTACCTAAGTATCGGTATAAAGTTGTAGCATTCCTTACTTCTTCTCTAGCTGTAAGGATGCATTTCCCTCTTCCTCCTTTTTGTTTCTCCCTGCCTTCCTTCCTTTTTTTTTTTTTTTTTTTTTGAGACAAGAGTTCACTCTAATCCAAGCTGGCCTGGAACTCAAAGTGTAGCCCAGGCTGGCCTTGAAGTCATACCAGCATCCCTATCTGAGTTTCCTTAGTGTGGGATTACAAGTGTGAGCTCTGTTTGTCAGTTTTCTTATCTCCCAGTTTTCTCCCCTGATCTCTTCTATTTCCATTCCCCCTTACACCGAATGCTGTTTGCTCCCCTCTCTAGTTCTAAAGTAGGAAGCTCAGCTCGCTAGTTTAAGGACTCTGTTCTTTTCTAATGTAGGTAGTTCTATAAATTTCTCTTCAACAGCATCCCACAACTTTATGTTATGTTTTCATCAAGAATGGGCTCTGGGGAAGCTCTCAGAGGTGCAGTAATGTCTTTCTTAAGATGGGTGGGGCGTACATAGGTACATGTGTTTATTTGCATATTTAGTCTTTATACCTCTTACAAAATAATACAAATATTATTTTGAGTGCATTCTTTCTTAGGAAGGAGCTTTTCAAAACATGATGAGACATAAGGATATACCCAGCTTATAGAAGAATAATTCCTTCAGCACTTATTTATGAAATGAATCAGAAAAGGGAGATGGTAATAAAAATGTTGAGCTGAGAAATAATTGATTTTTATATTGTTTTGCTATAATCATAGGTACTTACAAAGCAAAACAACTTAACAATTTCAGCAAGTCCAAAGCCTTATGACACTATACGAGCAGGGCTGGGATCTTCTATTGCATGGTAGAACCCGTGCCTGTCAGGAGCAAGGCCCAAGTTCACTCTCCAGCACCACAACACAACTACCCAAAGCTGTACAAGCAGAGGTCACGCCCTATCCAGGTTGTGCATTTTAACACAGAGCTCTTGGCTTAGAATAAAGGACACCTAATGTTTTCCTTGGGCAGCAGTTTAGATTCTGCTCTAATATAGAAAGCAAATACTTCATGGGGTCCCAAGAATTCCATACCAAAATCTCTGGCCACATTACTTGCCCTAATCCTCCCTTCATTTTAATATATTTTCGCATTAACTCAACCCTGGTTAAGGGTCTAAAAGTCACACTTTCAAATTGTTTTTAAATAAAAACAAACATAATTTTGCATGACTTTAATTCCTTTTCTTTTTTTTTAGAAACTATGGGGTTGGGGATTTAGTTCAGTGGTAGAGTGCTTGCCTAGCAAGCACAAGGCCCTGGGTTCGATCCTCAGCTCAAAAAAAAAAAGTAGAAACTATGTAGACTAGTTTCTAGATGTATGTAACAGTATAATCACTCTCCAAAGCATAATGAAAACATAATACACTGTCAGTAAGTCATTGTTCCCACCAATGACATTCACACGTTGAGATTAGATGGGATCAGGCAGATTCAAGGTGGCATGACTCTATGCATTGCTTCAGTTAAATAGCAGTGTGGACACACTGTGGATGTCACTACTGAACTGCTGTGATGATACAGGAACCATGGTCCAGAACTGTTACATCTTATATCAGCTCCAGCAAACACTGGAGAGTTCTTTCTCAATTAAAAGATTTATTATGCATAATCATTGTACATGGCTCTATGTTACATAAGGACACTTCATACAACTATATAATGTATATTGAACATGCTTCCCTCCATATCCCTTCCTGCCTCCCCCTTCCCATCAGTCCTCTTTGTTCCCCTAGCCAGTGTCATTTAGACTTTTATGTCATATGTGGGGCAGGATGAAAGTCAGGGGAAATTACGGGGAGGTGGGGAGGGAAAAGAGCCTCTTCCCCTTTCCCCTTCTGCTTGAAGCTTCTCTCCAGCTGAGAGTCGAGAGTTCCAGCATCGTTAACAACATGCACTGTGAAGGTTACCTACATGGAGACAGTCTTCCTTTTATGTAGTGGTGATTCAAATAAGAGTGTTTAAATAGCAATGAACTATGCCTGAGGCCTGAGTGTAGGTGACCTTTTCCCATTCTCATCTGTAAACCTGCAATCTTCTAGAACTCTCATAAGACTCTCCACTTACTATAAAAGACATTTCTTAACCCCCTTGTGCAACCCTTGTGGCTCATGGTTTTTTTCTTTATTAGATTTTAATCCCATCCAAGGCACCCTTATCTTACTTATCATAAAGATTGGGATAGGACTGGAAAGACTGCTCAATAGGTAAAGACACTAGCTGCCAAGGCTGACGACATGAGTTCAGTCTTGGGATCCTCACAGTGGAAGGAGAGAACTGACTTCCTAATATTGTCCCCTGACCACCTCCAGTGATCACTGTGGGATGCATGCACCCGCCCACCCTCACACACACATAAATAAGTCAATGCAATAAGGGAAAAGGAGGAAAAAGTTTTTACAGTAACCATTAAGAGTTATAATTTTAGAGCTACTAAAATAGTATATAACGACTGCTGAGACACTTAAGCAGTACTCTTTTGAGGAGCTCGTGCCTAGGCTCTTGGGTGTGTCTTATTTTTCCCCTA